ATTTCAATAAAGAAGAAACACATTAGCAATTTTCATACAAAACTTAAAAAAATTTCAATTAATGAACACAAATTTTCAAAAATTGTGTTCAAAAGAGTCATATTTTGGTTCAAAAACGTATGAAATTGTGTTCAAAAAGTGCAATTTTCGATCAAAAAATGAATAATTTAAAATTTCAACTAAACCTCTTGAAATTTCAATAAAGAAGAAACACATTAGCAATTTTCATACAAAACTTAAAAAATTTCAATTAATGAACACAAATTTTCAAAAATTGTGTTCAAAAGAGTCATATTTTGGTTCAAAAACGTATGAAATTGTGTTCAAAAAGTGCAATTTTCGATCAAAAAATAAATAATTTACAATTTCAACTAAACCCCTTGAAATTTCAATAAACAAGAAACAAATTAGCAATTTTGATACAAAACCTCGAAACATTTCAATTTATGGACACAACTTTTCAAAAATTGTGTTCAAAAGAGTCATACTTTGGATCAAAAAGGCATGAAATTATGTTCAAAAAGTAGTTTTTTTCAATTAAAAAATGAACAGTTCAAAATTTCAATCAAACCTCTTGAAATTTCAAAAAATAGAAACTCTCAATGAAGGAATATAAAGAACCAACGTTTGTAATAGAAAGCGATAGAGTGAGTGCAAGATAGAGACAATCATATAAGAATACGCAAAAATAAAAGAAATGTCGATAGGTGGAATACATGACTAGACGTGTGCGAGAGAAAGCGATAGAAAAATAGGAAAACGTAAGTGCGACAGAGATGGGAGAAGAAAAAGTCACATGGAATAGGAAACAGCACATGTGTGAAAGAAGCGACGAAAGATAGAAACGAGGATAGAAATATGCAAGGAGTAAGAGAGATGGTGACTCTGTGATAAAAAGGGATAGAGAAGTAGGAACACGTAAGTGCAAGAGAGAGAGGGGGGGGAGGGGGGGGGGAAGAAAAGGTCGCATTGAATAGGGAACAGCACGTGTGTGAAAGAAAGGGACGAGAGATAAAAATACACAAGAGTGCGGGCCAGAAATCGGTAAAAAGAGACGCGTATAGCAAAAGAAAGAGAGCGAAATAGGATGATGCAAGAGGAAAGGAGATGGCGATAGGGAGGTATATAAAACTAGGCAGAAAACGACAAATACATAAGTGTAAGAGAGATAAGACATGAAAACGATAAAAAAAAGTGTGACAATTTGGCCATTATTTTCAAAAAAGCAAATGAGCCGTCACAAAAACATAACAGCAGACACAAAATGCAATTGATAGACGGCAAACAAACGTCTGCACGCACGTCGGCCAATTTAATTAAGAAATTTCGCAATTATTTTCAAACGAGTGACGTAAATAATTCGATTGTCTCGTCGGGCAACCATTAAAATGTTTTAACAATGACAGGCCGAAATGAAACGCGCGCGACAATGTTTCGATTCGCGTGCGTAATGTAGCGTAACGTTTGTGAAGAATGTCCGAAGCAGGTGTCACCGGTAATAAAACATGACAGAAATCTCTAAACACGTCCAAGAACTTAAATAAATCCACGTCGAGAATGTGATCCTAAAGCACCGACTTCCGCGCATTAATTGAACATTAATTGCGAATCTTGGCCGCCGCACGATACATTCGATATCGGGATTTTGCATCCGAAACCTAAACTAGAACTCTATATAATAAAACAACAGGAACCAGAAATAGCAATAGCAGGAGTGCCACAAGGTGTAACACGGGGGCCGCTTTTATTTCTTGCGAACATGCATATTTCGTGGCGGTGGTTATAAAACACCTCTTTCACAGACATTTCAACAGTCAGGACCGTATTCGGTAACCACTAGCTCACACACAAAATCGAAAAAATTGAAGAAAAATTCAAAATCCGTCGACGGGCTCCCGTTACAGTGCACACGGTTTTGACTCCAGTTTATGTTAAAGGAATATAAATTGATTCAAACGGAACACCTTGTATATTTTAATCTAAAAAGATAGCATATACCATTCTCACTGAAAAAATTCAAAAATTTCATTCAATACTGATTTAAAGATTCTAAAAATTTTTTTTTTTAATTTGTTAGAAATGTTTTTGCATTTTTTTATGATGCATTAGAACCTTTTGATATTTTAATAAATCTTTTTGTAATCGTTTAAATCTTTTTTAAATTTGTTTCAATCACTTGAATCTTTTGCAAAATAAACACGAGGGGTCAGATAAAAAGATATTTAACCTAACCTAACTTTTTTTTAATGGAACATCGTGTAAATTATAATCTAAAAAAGATAAAAAAAAAATTCATTAATTTTTTTGTATGTTTTGAAGCATTCTCTGAAGCATTTAAACCTTTTGTTATTTTGTTCAACCTTTTATAAATTTTAATCACTTCAATCTTTTTCAAAATGTATATACGGGGTCAGGTAAAAAAGATATTCGATATGACCTTTTAAATATAACGCCCAATATTGATTCAAAAAATTGAAAAATCTGTTCTGTATTTTTTTAAATCATTTGAATGCTTTCGTCATCCTTTCTGATTTTTTTGAATCAAAATAAACCTACGGGGTCAGGTAAAAAATTATTGAACCTAACCTAACTTTTTTAAATGGACCACCATGTTTATTTTAATCTACAAAGATAGCATATTAAAGATAGCGATATTTAAATAATATAACAATTCAAAAATTCAAAAATCTGATAGTAATTTTGGTTAAATCTTTTTATAACCTTTTTTGAATCACTTGAATGATTTTCAAAATAAATACACAGGGTCAGGTAAAAAAGTTATTGGACCTAACCTAATTTATTTTTAACAGAACTCTGAATATTTTAATAAAAAGCTAGCATATTAAATTATCTTTTCAAACATAAAACACTAGAAAATTCAAAAATTTCAATATCAATTCAAAGTTTCAAAAGGGATTTAAAAAAATTGGAGAATTCAAAAATGTGTTAAAAATGTTTTGTATTCTTTTGAACAATTCTAACCTTTTGTTAAATCTTTTGGAATTTTTCTTAATCAATTTTCACAATATACAGGGTCAGATAAAAAAGTTATTGGACCTAACCTATTTTTTCTTAATAGTATCTAAAAAGATAGCATATTAAATCTTCTTTTAAAAAATGACTGAAAAAATTGAAGTTTCTTATAATAATTCACTCAAAAAAAAATTAAAAAAATTCAGGGTGTGGTAAAAAACCTTTTTTTTAATGGAACACCATGTATATTTTAAATTTAAAAAATGGCATATTACGTTCTCTTTTCAAAAATAACAAAACATTTTATTCAACATTGATTCAAAAAGAGATCCAAAAATGATTTTTTTTAATTTCAAAAAATCTGTTAGAAATTTTGTTATTTTTATCTTTTTGTAATCAACGGTTCCATACAAACGTTAGCGTAAATGCATGCAATTTCTACGGCGGGTCCCTCTAACAAACGCAAGCAAAATGCAGGCACAAGCATCGCACTGCGCATGCGCATAACCCAACTCAAAATGGCCGGCCCGTGTGGCGCAGCTCAGTTGAAGCTGGACTGCAGTATTAAGGGTCCCTGGTTCGAATCCGAGTTCGGGCATGGATTTTTGCATGCATAGTGGGTTGGGTTGGTAGAGCAGCCTAGGCTGAAACCCCACCCCCTCAAAAATAAAGGCAAAAATAAAAAGTAAAAAAAATATAACCGAAATTTCTACAGTAGGTCTCTCCAAAATGCAAAACGCAAAATTCTATCTTTCTACTATCTTTTTTAGAATAAAATACACAGGGTGTTCCATTTAACAATTAGGTTAGGTCCAAAAACGTTTTTACCTGAGGTTGAAAAAAAGATTAATTTTAATTAAAAAATCTGTTGACATTGTTTGAATTTTACACGTACACGTTGAATATTTGAATCTTAAAGATCAACATATCAAATACTCTTCAAAATGATACTGAAAAAATTCAAAAATTTCAATATTAATTCAAAAAGTACCACAAAAGATTTGAACATTTTAAAAAATTCAAAAATCGCATTCAGAAAATCCCAAAAAAATTTTTAAATTGAAAAATGTGTTAAGATTTTTTTGTATTTGTTTGAATTACTTTATACTATCCCTGGTTGTGTTGTTTTTGAAGGAAATTTAATGCTTTAATCTACACAGTAAAATATAATGTTCCCTTAAGCAAAAAATGAGGTTAGGTCCAGTAACTTCTTTCCCTAACCCCGTATATCAACTTATTTTGAAAACATTTGTCTAATTTATTTAATTTTCGCCCCACATCCCTCGAGCAAATGTGTCCAAATTTTGATTTTACCGTCTTTAATTGTAAGGGTCAGTATTAAAGTGGTTCTTCGAGCCGAATAAAAATTGTTGCAATAACAAATTTTGATTGATACTCCACTTAGTAAAACAAAAGAAAAATAATTGCAGACAGATGGCCGGCACACATAAATGTCGACAGGATTAGTAGATAAGCTGCGCACACAATGGCTTTGTCTGGAGCAGCTTACCATAATCTCGCTACGTCATTTTGTTCTTATTGGAACAGACTAGCGAATGTCATGAATAGGACTTTAAAGCATGAAAACGCCCGTTGCGAAATGGGGCAAGTAATACCTACCAATGGAATGCAACTGAAATCGATACAAACTTTCGAGTTGGAGCACGTAACCGGAGTCGAGCACTACAAAACGCCCCTAAGGCCCAAATATAAACCGAACCTCATCAATCACTTGAGACAGTACGACTACTTCTCGATTATTCTGTTTTAAATCCGCTGCCGCCACGACTGTACCACTCGTGCGGATTAAACACTAAAGCGCACACGACGATTTTAATTACAACCTGGCATTTCGACAGCCACAAGAGGACGCCCGCTTCAAATAATGAGGGATGCATCCAGAGTTCGGTTACCAGTTGATGTCAATTAAACCCTGATTTGCAATTTAAATTATTCGCCCGATTCCGGCGAGGATTTACCTTGTTTTAATAACGCCCGCGCCAATAAAGTAAGAATGGGACACTTACCACGGTTATGGGGTACATTGGATTAATTATCGTGAATAAGAGGACATGATTCGGTTTAGAATCGTCCGGTCTCTTTCTCCGAGGTTCTTCGCCGCCGCCGCCGCCACCGCCGCCATATCCAACTGAATGTGTCTGAAATTGAAAGTAAATTGTTAGACATTCAAACTTAAAAAAGAACGCACAAATTGATGAAACTGTTAACAAATAGTTACACGAATCGTCATGTAAGTGATTTGAGGATAAGGACATGTGAGATCATGATCACGTTACTGGTAAAGGCGCAACACACAACGAATGCAATTTGAATTTAAAATTACCCAATTGCATTTCAATATTAACAGTTTAAAATATACTACAAAGGCATAAATAGATGTCAGTCACAAAATATTTCAAATAAATTTAAAAAAAGAACATTTTGGGGGTTCATTCCCCCCAGACCCCCCTGTTCTACATCCCTCCTCAAAATGTTTAGTATCCTCGGAGTAAACGCATCACCGGAGGGTCTGGGGGGGTATGGAATATCCCCAGTAAAAACAAAGAGTCAATTACCTGCAACTGACAAAACCTCACTGAGGAGTATTCCAGAGCCCCGGTTCAAAAGTCCCTCCTCAAAATGTTTAGTACCCTGGGGGTGAACGCATCCGAGGAGTGTAGGGGCATGAAATACCTCTCAGGAAAAAGAAACAGTGAATTACGTGCAACTGACATAAAGACCTGCGTCCACTGGGGGTATGCCATACCCCCCAAAAAGCTACATTCAAATGACCTCTAGCGACAGAATAAAGAACTACGAAGAAAGATCTATAAGCTACCGCGAATTTATAGAAAAAATATCAAAAGTTTCCAGAATGAAGCTGTAGCGGGCGGAGTTTTCGTAGTACCCGATTCTGCCGCTAGTGTTTTGTTCGGCCACGCCTTCTCAGTTTGCAAAGCGCTGTCGATGAGGATGGTTGCGTCCGCACGCAGGGAATTTTTGTTACAAGAGCTCTTTTGTCCAGCCGTCGTCTTGGTGATATGGTTACGACCCGCAATAATCAAGCCACTGAAAGACGCCATCCTCGCCCCGCGTCAAAAAGGCTCGCGAGTCAAATGTGAAAACAATGCTCATTTGTTTTTGCGATGCAAAAGGGATTGTGCACTTGGAATTCGTCAGACCGTCAACCAGGATTTCTACTTGGAGATTCTCAAGAGGTTATCAACAAAGGCGCACTTTGATATCAGGAAAGCTGAAGCCATACAAATCCCGTAAGGCCCATCTACGTACTTTAAACAATTTTACCATAAATACGAACTAGAAGCATCCTGAATCCAGACAATTTCTATGAGATTATCGAGGCATTTGAAGAAAATTGCAGAAAATTTGGTTGTTTATCAACAAAGGCGCACTTTAACATCAGGAAAGCTGAAGCCATATAAAACCCGTAAGGCCCCTCTACGTATTTTAAACAATTTTACCATAAATACGAACTAGAAGCATCCTGAATCCAGACAATTTCTATGGGATTATCGAGGCAATTGAAGAAAATTGCAGAAAATTTGGTTGTTTATCAACAAAGGCGCACTTTAATATCAGGAAAGCTGAAGCCATATAAAACCCGTAAGGCCCATCTACGTACTTTAAACAATTTTACCGTAAATACGAACTAGAAGAATCCTGAATCCAGACAATTTCTGTGGGATTATCGAGGCAATTGAAGAAAATTGCAGAAAATTTAGTCGTTTATCAACAAAGGCGCACTTTAATATCAGGAAAGCTGAAGCCATATAAAACCCGTAAGGCCCATCTACGTATTTTAAACAATTTTACCATAAATACGAACTAGAAGAATCCCGAATCCAGACAATTTCTATGGGATTATCGAGGCAATTGAAGAAAATTGCAGAAAATTTGGTTGTTTATCAACAAAGGCGCACTTTAACATCAGGAAAGCTGAAGCCAAATAAAACCCGTAAGGCCCATCTACGTACTTTAAACAATTTTACCATAAATACGAACTAGAAGAATCCTGAATCCAGACAATTTCTATGGGATTATCAAGGCAATTGAAGAAAATTGCAGAAAATTTTGTTTTTTATCAACAAAGGTGCACTTTAATATCAGGGAAGCTGAAGCCATATAAAACCCGTAAGGCCCATCTACGTACTTTAAACAATTTTGCCACAAATACGAACCAGAAGAATCCTGAATCCAGACAATTTCTATGGGATTATCGAGGCATTTGAAGAAAATTGCAGAAAATTTGGTTGTTTATCAACAAAGGCGCACTTTAATATCAGAAAGGCTGAAGCCATACAAATCCCGTAAGGCCCATCTACGTACTTTAAACAATTTTGCCACAAATACGAACTAGAAGCATCCTGAATCCAGACAATTTCTATGGGATTATCGAGGCAATTGAAGAAAATTGCAGAAAATTTGGTTGTTTATCAACAAAGGCGCACTTTAATATCAGGAAAGCTGAAGCCATATAAAACCCGTAAGGCCCATCTACGTACTTTAAACAATTTTACCGTAAATACGAACTAGAAGAATCCTGAATCCAGACAATTTCTGTGGGATTATCGAGGCAATTGAAGAAAATTGCAGAAAATTTGGTTGTTTATCAACAAAGGCGCACTTTAATATCAGGAAAGCTGAAGCCATATAAAACCCGTAAGGCCCATCTACGTACTTTAAACAATTTTACCACAAATACGAACTAGAAGAATCCTGAATCCAGACAATTTCTATGGGATTATCGAGGCATTTGAAGAAAATTGCAGACAATTTGGTTGTTTATCAACAAAGGCGCACTTTAATATCAGGAAAGCTGAAGCCATATAAAACCCGTAAGGCCCATCTACGTACTTTAAACAATTTTACCATAAATACGAACTAGAAGAATCCTGAATCCAGACAATTTCTATGGGATTATTTTTTTTTCCTTCCAGAGCTGTGATGGCCCCTGAAATTACGTAAAGTGATTGATAAATTGGATTGTAGTGTTTTAAAATGATCCGTCCTATACAATCTGAGCGAGGTGAGGGTGCGCAGCCGCGGAAAACCGAGCTCCTGCCCCATAAAAGAAAGATTTGTTCACATGTAACAGTTTCGTGTATAAATCTAGAACGAAGACATGATAATATTTACGTGTGTCTCCGTCGAGTGCCACGCTATACTGGTTAATGCGAAAGATTCGATCTTCGCGTGCCAAAACAAACAGGGGCCATAAAAAGTCCCTTTTTACCACTATAATAAAGAACATAATGCCCCATTTCGTGTACCGGTGAAAAAGTTATTTCCAAACACACGTATCCATTATGTAAATGGTATGTGAAAGTGAATGAAAAGTATTCCCTGATAATCTACGAAGATCGCCGTTCGACATGCGAACATTTCATCACACGAGCACGAATTTCTATCTCTGTTTGTTTGTTCTTGCATTAAAAAGAATTTCGATGCATATCGGTGGTTTTTTATGGATTTATAACATGCTGTTAAACCGGTCTCGGTTAATTACACATTCTCGCACAAGGGCAACTATTTATAGCCTTTATAAACATGAATATTCCGAATTTTCCACTTTGACGTTAACGAGTCTTTCTGCACTTGCGTTTTTGACGCCCCGCGTGCCGAGTTTCGCTGCGCTGGTCGGCATTTCGTGTGCCGGAAGTGCAGAGGTGGACCGTTCTGCCGAATATGGACCGTTTTTACCTGCCCACTTAACGTAGGTAAATGGTTTCGTTGAACTCGACTTGCTCTGGAAGACGATGCACTTCCTTGACGAATGTCGACTGTCTTCAAATCATCAGCGGACAGACAGACGGAAATGTCATCGTGCACCTCGTCGTGCACTTTTTCTCAACTTTTGGTTTGTCTTTGAAGAAAAAAGTCGGTTTAATACCTATCTTGATTTTGTATCTACAACCATGTCCATTTGGTTGAATACCTAAATTCCTGGGTTAAATTTAGTTTCTCCGACCAAAATATGTTACCCATTTTATTATTTATGGACCAATTTTCTTGAAAAAAAGACTAAACTCTATGACATCAAGCCCACGACGTGATCCACCTGCATTTTTGGTAACTCAAATATATATGTCAAATTCGTTATTTATGCACCAATTTTGTTGGGGAAAAAACGAGGAAAAACCAAACTCGATTGCTCGATTGGTACCCAAGAAGTGAACCATGTGTATTTTTGGTGACCAAAATATTTTTTTCCCCAAAATCACTATCTATGTACCAATTTTCTTGGGAAAAAGACCAAACACGATTGCTAAATGCCCAATAAGTGATCAATGTGTACTTTTGGCGACCAAAATATCATCAAAAAATGTCAAAATCGTTATTTAAGTACCGATTTTCTTGGAAAAAAGCCTAAAGTCGATTACTCGAAACCAAAGTGATCCACGTGGATTTTTGTCGACCCAAATATTTTGCCCATTTTATTATTTATGGACCAATTTTCTTGCGAAAAAGACTAAACTCTATGACATCCTGCCCAAGACGTGATCCATCTGCATTTTTGGTAACTCAAATATGTCAAATTCGTTGTTTATGCACCAATTTTCTTGGGAAAAAAACGAAAAACCAAACTCGATTGCTCAATTATAGGTACCCAAGAAGTGAACCATGTGTATTTTTGGTGACCAAAATGTTTTTTTTACCAAAATCACTATCTATGTACCGATTTTCTTGGAGAAAAAGACCAAACACGATTGCTAAATGCCCAATAAGTGATCCATGTGTACTTTTGGCGCCCAAAATATCATCAAACACTATCAAAATCGTTATTTATGTACCGATTTTCTTGGAGAAAAAGACCAAACACGATTGCTAAATGCCCAATAAGTGATCCATGTGTACTTTTGGCGCCCAAAATATCATCAAACACTATCAAAATCGTTATTTATGTACCGATTTTCTTGGAAAAAAGCCTAAAGTCGATTACTCGATACCCAAGTGATCCATGTGGATTTTTGCCGACCCAAATATTTTGCCCATTTTATTATTTATGGACCAATTTTCTTGCAAAAAAGACTCAACTCTATGACATCCTGCCCAAGACGTGATCCATCTGCATTTTTGGTAACTCATATATGTCAAATTCCTTATTTATGCACCAATTTTCTTGGGGAAAAAACAAACTCGATTGCTCAATAGGTACCCAAGAAATGAACCATGTGTATTTTTGGCGACCAAAATATTTTTTTTTCCCAAAATCACTGTCTACGTACCGATTTTCTTGGGAAAAAGACCAAACACGACTGCTAAATGCCCAATAAGTGATCCATTTGTACTTTTGGCGACCAACATATCATCAAAANAGTAATAGTAATAGTAATAGTAATAGTAATAGTAATAGTAATAGTAATAGTAATAGTAATAGTAATAGTAATAGTAATAGTAATAGTAATAGTAATATATATTTCGTTGACCCATTCAATAATTACAATTGTTTGGTCGCGTCAGATAGATATGAAAAATTTTAAAAATATTGTAACAAAAAAAAATGTATAAAACAACACAGTAACACAATAAGAACAAACAATTTACATCGAACATGAAGTAGTAAGCATGTATTCAATAGCTACCCAAGAAGTGAACCATGTGCATTTTTTGGTGACCAAAATATTTTTTCCCCAAAATCACTATCTATGTACCAATTTTCTTGGGAAAAAGACCAAACACGATTGCTAAATGCCCAATAAGTGATCCATGCGTACTTTTGGCGACCAAAATATTATCAGAAACTGTCAAAATCGTTATTTATGTACCGATTTTCTTGGAAAAAAGACCTCGCATCGGCTTCGGGTTTTCGTTAATGAAAACCTATCCGTTCCATATGTGCAACTATCAAAACCTAACTTTGACATCACTTCATTGCTTAAAATCGATCAAAATCGTTATTTATGCACCAATTTTATTGGTAAAAAGACTAATCTCTATGCCTTCCTATCCAAAGAATGGTCCATATGCAGTTTTGGTAACCAAAATAAGCTCAAAAATAAGTATGTCAAAATCGTTATTTAGGCACCAATTTTGTTGGGAAAGGAATAAACTCTATTGCCCCTTGCTTAAGAGTTGATCCACACCCATTTTTGATAACCAAAATATGTCAAAATTTCTACCTCAATTTTCTTGGGGAAAAAAACAAAGTCGATTTCTCGAATCCCAAGCAGTGACCCATGCGTATTTTTGCCCAAAAAAAGTGTGAAAATCGTTATATATGTACCGATCTTCATTTTTCTAAACAAAAAACTACTTTCCTGACAGCTAAGCTTCTTTCTGTGCCGTCATTTGTCATAGCTAGGTAGGTAGATAATTATAAAAAGCGCCCTAGTAACAAACGGCGTTTTTTTTAATGTCTTAAGTAAATGTTTGTTTGAATCGTGCCACCTTTATTTTTGAGAAACGTACCTTGCAAGGCCGGGCCCGACGGGAGTTATCGGAAACGGAACCCTGATATTTCCGTAAAGATCAAATGAATGCTAAGTACGAAAGGTTATGGATAACAAACGAATAGCGCCGCCGATAAGCCTTATCGAAAAGGTCGCTTTTTCTCGGGATTTTTCTTTTACTGCCACAAATAAACGGGCAAAGCGTGTCAATTGAAGTGTCCCAAACAGAATTTGGATATACTCCAGATATTTAAATGTGACTCACATGCACACACAATGAGTCGGAAACTTACGACATACCCTTCACGTTTAATTTTAAAGGTAGCGGCGGACACCTTCGATTTTCCAATTGGCAATTTCGTAAAGAAAAACAAATCTCATTGAACTGCACTCGTTGGCCTTGACGGGTCATCGTCCGGCCTACCGTGATAAAACATCGATAAATTACTTTAAATACCGGTTTCACTGCCAAATTTTTAGAAAAGCCAACCCAATTCCGACAACAAGTCAATCCGTGCGGGTGCAACCCCGACCCGGTCACTTTTTATCAGCTCGCGCTTATCAAAAAGGTCTGCCCCGGCCCGAACCGGGATGCAGGAGGATTGATGACAGGAGTTCGTACTAAGGGCAACTTAACCCCCAAAATTGAAAAGGTTAAACAATTGTTTACTCACCCTAACGCTTCCCTGTTCGCCCTCTATTCTCGGACGTTTGTGTGATCCATCCCCGTTGAATGCCATTTTAAAATTGTGTACCCAACAAACAACCACTCAAAAAACTGAACTAACTAACACAACGGCACACACGGAACTACTGTCCGTAGTAATTTTTTCTTGTTTGTAAAATGGCGACGGAATAACAAACGATCGCGCCGACATCTGTTGCCGATGAGAAACAATTCGATCCGCAAGTTCCTAATTAATTATGCGTTAATTACAGAATGCATGTGCAACCTAGGCAGCCTTTACGTAACACTTGTTTCAGTATTGAGGAATTTCCGTATCTATTATTAGTTTTCGAGGTCAGAGCATCTGTTGTTTATATGACTTGGAGTTGTCCACCTGCGTAGGCAACACATCATGCACCACTCTCGTCTGTGCACCATACAGGGTGTTCGTTTGAGTGGTGCTAAAAGAGACGTAAACTGTTGACGTAGAGACAAGTTTTCTGCTACCCTTTAGAAGTTATATTTCTCTAGTAGCCCTCTGGCGTCTGGATAGATGTCCTCTTGTTAGGCGGGTGGGTGGAGAGCTAGAGGGGCGAAACTCCTTTCTTCGAACATGGAGATAGATCAACTTAACAAACCAGAGGGAGCGTCCCAGAACACCCCTCAACCCATGCACCGCGAGCCTTAACAGCACACCAAACCACGAAAACGCATCATTCGTAAAACCCACTTTGAAATCAAAAAACCTCTAAAATGATCTAAAAGACTCTGGGATACTCTCCAAGACTTTTGATTGGTGGGATACTCACAAAAAGCGAACTCGGCCTTTAAAAATTCTTAAAAACCAAAATATCCTAAAGGCATTGAAGATTCCTCGAGACTGAAGGCGACTCCAACCACCCTTGATACGCTCACGGACAAGGCACGTGCCGGCTTGGGGGTTCTTAGAAATTTCTGTAGAGCATCTTTTCTCCCTCACAGACCCAATATGTTTCGACCAAGACCGTCGGCTTTCCGCCTCTAAAAAAGCTTGCAATGTAGGTAGTGGATGACCTATGTTCGTTCTGGAGCAGGAAGTGACGTCACACCAATCAGAGACGAGCACGTGACGTCACAGCCAATCAGAGACGAGCACGCCCCCCTATGCCCCTCCTCTGGCTTATTTGGTTACGCGCTAACTTTCTATTCCAGGTATCGTTGGTTCGATTCCCAACGCAGATTAGAAAAAAAATTTGTCTATAGCAATCACGTGACCGATGACGCGGGTCCAAAATAACATCAAAGATGTCGGATGGAGCGTGAGAGGTAGACAGATAGATGGTCCAAAATGGCGTCCAACAAAATGGCGAGATTAGAGACTAATAAAATGGCGACCGATCCAAGATGGCGGTTCCAGTGGCTAATAATAATAATAATAATAACGTATATTGTGTAAATAAAACATTCAAAGTTTTTAACACTCGTCAACCGAAAACAATTACAGAAAAAATATGTGAGACGAACAATATCACAGGTTACAATTACTATATATCACAACTTAATCACAGAGAACAGTGTCACCGAAGTCAGAAAAATCATTTGTTAAAAACTCCTTGATGCTGTAAAAAGCTTTTGCAGTTAAGGCTTAATTTAAATTGGAATAAGTTAAGTTGTTTAATTTGAGAAGATAGGACGTTGTATAAATGGCGACCGATCAAAGATGGCGACTTTAGTGACTAATAAAATGGCGACCGGTCTAAGATGGCGGCTTTAGTGGCTAATAAAATGGCTCCTAACAAAATAGCGGGATTAGAGACTAATAAAATGGCGACCGATCCAAGATGGCGGATTTAATAACTAATAAAATGGCGACCGATCCAAGATGGCGGATCTAGTGACTAATAAAATGGCGCCCAACAAAATGGCCGACCACGCCGCTCATTGGCTGTAACGTCAGAGGGGGCGGCCCCTAAAGGTTCCGCCTACCGTAGGGGGGCGTGCTCGTCTCTGATTGGCTGTGACGTCACGTGCTCGTATCTGATTGGTGTGACGTCACTTCCTGCGCCAGAACGAACATAGGTCATCTACTGTAGGTTACGGCCCTTCTTCCATTGTTATGATTATATTTTTCCTATTACTCTTTGAATCCACCGCACCTCCTTTCTCCTGCTGTCGCGGTCACAAATTCCGGTGGTAGTCCTTCCGGTCCAAGATCCTTCTAGTGGGTGACTTACAAGAGTAAAATCAGGGTATTACTGTTTCGAATGCTCTGCTGAAGACCTTTGGCCAAGTGCTTGGGGCACCGTTTCAGATGGAAGCCGGCAGCTTTCTTTTCGCCGTCTCCAGCACCTCGGCGTTTGTAACTGCTACCCCAGTGTCTGGCACTCCCACTGGGGAATCCCTCGTTGGTTTACTTTAGATTGGAAAATGTCCCCTATCTCGATGTCCGGTTGCCACCCCTTGCTCCCTCCTTCTTCCTGGAACCTGGAACGGTGGTCACATCATTATAAGCTCATCGAGATGGCGCTAAAGAACAAAGAGTTTTAAACTCACTAGATATAGAAAGTACCGCAATCATCCTCCATTTTTGGGCAAATTTGCTGCCAACTTAAAAAAATTGACAAATAAAATCTGAATAGCTGTAATTTTTTATAACCTAACTTCATAGTACTGTCATGTTTTATAAAAATATATAAAGATATCTCCAAACAGGTGGAACAATCCCTAACATTTAAGTTACTAGAATCTGGTAACTTCCGCCATTTTTGGGCATAAATCATGCGTTCTCTCTCTAACACACGAGCCCAATGGATTGCGGTACTTTCTTTATTTAGTGACTTTAAACAGTTTAAATTTGAATTCGTCCTTGCGGCCGCGCTGTTAACCAAAATGGGATCCACCCTTATGGTTAGGCAACACGCCTTTAAATCTGAAACAAAAATATGATATGCTCTGTATATAACCAATCGACCGTTTTGCGCAGATGCCGAATACTAGGGGATTTTCGCAACGAAGCTAGGGGAAAATGAAGAAGATGGCGACGAGGTCGACGGAAGGCTCTTATATCCTTGATTATTTAACCATTTTATTCTTTCTTGTAGTAGCTATTAAGGGGGGCTCTCTTATTTGATGTTTCGATGTCTGTGTGTGCGAGCTAATATAGTTCGATCTTTCGCTGTATCTGTTGCCTACTCGTCTCGTGCGGATTGCAGTTCTTAGCATCTTAGCAATACGAGTAGGGGCCCTCTCATTAATTTTTGCACTATTTAAAATATGTTCTGCTTGAGAGATAAGCGATTTTCACATGAATGCTTGCTATTGGTATTCTCACATGTACTTTTCGTGTTAAATTAATTTATGTTAACTTAAGGCTGGAGGAGAGCCCAGAGCTGGGTAGTGCTTTGAGAAATAGTGTTTGCTAAAGGACTTCAATTACTTTTAGTGCTTAGAGCTCTGTGCTTCAATTACTTTTCTAATTCAGGAAAAAGTGCTTCAATTACCAAGCACTTTTTAAAAGTGCCTTCCTTTTTTACCAAAAATCGACTACACCAAAATTTCTCTGGAAAACACTTTTTCTCACTAATTTTGGTGCGTAGAATCCAAAACGATTCGTACTTCTTCGATCAGGCCCCTCAATCAAAAGTTATGGGCAAAAAAAATTCCTGTTGGATATATCCCCTTCATCCCCCCCGTAAATACGCCACTGGAATCCACCGCACCTTTCTCCTGCTGTCGCGGTCACAAATTCCGGTGGTGGTCCTTCTGGTCCAAGATCCTTCTGGTGGGTGACTTACAAGAGTGAAATCAGGGGATTACTGTTTCGAATGCTCTGCTAAAGACCTTTTGGCAAGTGCTTGGGGCACCGCGTCAGATGGCAGTCGGCAGCTTCCTTTTCGCCGTCTCCAGACCTCGGCGTTTGTGACTGCTACCCTAGTGCCTGGCACCCCCACTAGGGGATCCCACGTCGGTTTACTTTGGATTGGAAAAAGTCCCCTATCTCGATGTCCGTTGCTCCCTCCTTCTTCCTGGAACAATTTTATAGTCTCGGTGGTCACTCATTATAAGCTGATCGAGATGGAGCTAAAGAACAAACAGTTTAAATTTGAATTCGCCCTTGCTGCCGCGCTGTTAACTAGAATGGGATAATTCACCCTTATGGTTAGGCAACACACCTGTACATCTGAAACAAAAATATGATATGCTCTGTATATAACCGTTTTGCGCAGATGCCGCACACTAGGGGATTTTCGTAACGAAGCTAGGGCAAAATGAAGATGATGGCGACGAGGTCGACGGAAGGCTCTTATATCCTTGATTATTTTGGTGGTGGTGTTTTGAAGGTGTATTTACAGGTAGTAACCATTTTATTCTTTCTTGTAGTAGCTATTAAGGGGGGCTCTCTTATTTGATGTTTCGATGTTTGTGTGTGCGAGTGGGTCATACGGTCTCCGTGGAGTAGGTACCTAATATAGTTCGATCTTTCGCTGTATCTGTTGCCTACTTGTCTCGTGCGGATTGCAGTTCTTAGCATCTTGGCAATACGAGTAGCGGCCCTCTCATTAACATTTGTACTATTTAAAATATGTTCTGCTTGAGAGATAAGCGATTTTGACATGAATGCTTGCTATTGGTAGTCTCACATGTACTTTTCGTGTTAAATTAATTTATGTTAACTCAAGGCTGGAGGAGAGCCCAGAGCTGGGTAGTGCTTTGAAAAAAAGTGTTTGCTAAAGGACTTCAATTACTTTTAGTGCTTAGAGCTCTGTGCTTCAATTATTTTTCTAATTCAGGAAAAAGTGCTTCAATTACGAAGCACTTTTTAAAAGTGCTTGGAGCTTCAAACCCTATAAACTGCTTGAAGCACTTTCATTCAATTTCGAGCACTTATAAAGAGCTTCAAGCACTTATAAAGAGCTTAGTGCGTAGAATCCAAATCAATTCGTACTTTTTCGATTAGACCTCTCAATCAAAAGTTTTAGACCATTTTCGAAAAAAAATTCAAAGGGCTGTAACTTTTGAACTAGTAGCCCAATCTTGGAACTGTTTGAAATTATGGATTCTACAGGCCACATTCTATAAAAAATTTTTTTTCCGGGTCGATCTGAGACAAATTTTTTTGAGGATCTCAAAAAAAGGCAGTGTATAAACCTTCCTTTTTTACCAAAAATTGACTGCACCAAAATTTCTCGGGAAAACACTTTTTCTTATTAAATTTGGTGCGTAGAATCCAAAACAATTCGTACTTTTTCGATCAGACTTCTCAATCAAAAGTTATAGACTAGAAACTAATTTCGAAAAAAAATT